TTCTTAGCCTACTTGATTTGCAGTCCTGATATTTTAGGGGGTAAAAGCAAACTGAAGGCCTTTTATATAAAGTCTTATTTTGGTAAGAAAGCAGATTTGGAATGTTTGAGCGTACAGGACACAAATCTTTTTCTTTCATCCTTCCATCCATTTTGGATGGATGGATGGAACATTTCATGAAAACGGATTAATATTATCAAGGTTAATATTTAAACAGTTCCTGCTATGGGTAATACTTTCCTTCTTTTATTTGATTTGCAAGGGTATTTTTTTCAAAAGATAAACAGTTAATGAGTTGGGCCTTCAGGGTGTGGCTCCTTGCTGGTCACTAGAACAGTTAATGGTCTCCCTTGCATTTGATATGAACCAGCCGAGCATCTGGGTGCCGCTGCTCGGAGACAGTCCTTGAGGATGCCCAACATGACCCTGGTAAGGTGTGGGGTGATGCCTTTGCCTTGGCGGGGGGTAGAGAGACAGCTTCTTGGGCATATGCTCCGGTTAAACAGTAGCCAGGCTGTGGTTAGTCATGGATGGAGTCAGCCTGCCACTCCTACACACACAGCCACAGCCCGCATGCTGCAGAGCCCATGGCTAAAATGAATCTCTAATTGTTTAGTGTATCCCCAACCCCAGCATCAAGCAGAAGAGCAGCAGACCAGGAGGAAAAGTAAGACAGGGCAGAAGAGCAGCAGACCAGGAGGAAAAGTAAGGGCAGAAGAGCAGCAGACCAGGAGGAAAAGTAAGGGCAGAAGAGCAGCAGACCAGGAGGAAAAGTAAGGGCAGAAGAGCAGCAGACCAGGAGGAAAAGTAAGGGCAGAAGAGCAGCAGACCAGGAGGAAAAGTAAGGGCAGAAGAGCAGCAGACCAGGAGGAAAAGTAACAGACAGGGCAGGAGAGCAGCAGACTGGGAGGAAGAGCATTTCTAGACAGTAACCCACTGACTACTTTAGCTTCCATATGTTTGAAAATGTGGATACATTTTGTGGGATATTCATAAAACAGCATGCAAACTGGGCCGCTTCACAGCAGAGACCACATCTATGGATATAGAAACATTTATGGTATCTAATGTCACAAGAAAAAAAAGTGTTTGTGTTACATACGCTGAATAATGAGATGTTTCTCCAGAGAACGTTCCAACTCATTTATTCGTGGTTACACTGCAAAATAAAACACAGTTGTCTGACCCATGTGCAGGCAGCTACTTTTAAGTTGTCTCTGCTAATTTCCTGCAACGCAGAGATCACAACTTACCGTGTAACCATCCGTGTGTATAACATTGAAATCAACAAATATAACAAACACTTAAGCACACAAGTATTATTCCGCTAACCTGCTAATATTACAAGATGCGTTCGCGCATGGTTTGCTAATTAACTTACAAATAACCGTGGAGCCATCAGTAACAGGGGTCCGCAATTTACTGAACTCACTGTTTAATATATTACTGTTTATGAATGGGTTGGGACAAGTATCTTGCTTGTACAGATATTCTCACCTGCAAAATAAAACACAGTTGTCTGACCCATGTGCAGGCAGCTACTTTTAACAGTTGTCTATGCTAATTTCCTGCAACGCAGAGATCGTTGTGCCAATTATGTAGCTGAGTAGCCGCTGCTACCCCCTCGTGGTGGGGGTGGGTCTCATTTTAGATGTAACAGGGAAAAGCAGGTGAGTTTCACGTCCCGCACAGGCTGTGAAATGTGCATGTCAACAGACAATAACAAAACAAAAAAAAAACATTAATACAGGATCCAGCTGGGACAACAACACCTCTCTGTGTGCTGCTTAGCCAACTAATACTCCCAGGGTTCTACACCTGTACTCCACAATGACACTAATCAAATACTATAAAATAAGACAATTAGTACAGTAGATTGCACAGCGTTCATTTTCAGCAATGGCTCTCACTCTGGATGCATACTTCTGTGTTCCTGCATGGACTTAGGAACAGTAAGAATGGCAGATATTATGCAGGGTATGGTGCTCTACGTGTGAAAGATGTCTTATCAGGAGAATGTGTCATGCTGTGACCTTGAGAGACCTTAGACTCCAGTCAGCTGTATCAAAATAGGATAAAAAGGCTTGCATTAGGCTCCATGTGTCTAGACCTTACACACATCAGGCTGCGTGTGTCTGGACCTTACACACATCAGGGTCCGTGTGTCTGGACCTTACACACATTAGGCTCTGTGTGTGCAGACCTTACATGTGTTAGGCTCTGTGTGTGTGGATCTTACACACTTCAGGCTGTGTGTCTGGATCTTATATGTGTCAAGGGTGGTTCATACTTCTCTGCACATGTACTGCTGGATGTGTCTTTGTTAAACATTCACTGGATGTGAATTTGTAAAACATAGAGTGGTTACGCGAGTGTTGCACTTGTGCGGAAAAGTATGAACCAGCCTTTAGGCAGCATGTGTCTGGTCCTTACATACATCAGGCTCCGTGTATGTGGACCTTACATACATCAAGTACGTTCATATAAGGAACATCAAAGGGAAAAAGCAGCAGCAGACCATATGCAGAGATGGACACCAAGATAGTACTTTTAAAGCATGCAAAAGCAAAAATGTGCTGATAAACACTTTTATACACAGTTTTAATGTGACTATAGCCTCTCATTGTGTGTTAAGTAGCCTTCTGCTTTTGCTATGTGGGTGGACAAGCTGTTCATGTGTAGCCAGCCAGTGACTGGCTGTTGAAAGCTCGTCTAGAAGACAATGATGGGAGTGGCTTTTTGATGGCCAATCAGAATGCTGCCACTCATCACGACTGGCAGTAGCAGCCTCATTACGCTGCTTCCCATTGGCAATGAGCCCCTTTGCAGGGCCCCGCCCTCATGTCACCTTCCTGTCTACTCAGCATTTCTGTCCAGCACTTGGTGGCTAATCATTAAGCCATGAGAGCTGTATGCCACCTCAGGGGTTAGTTAAGAGAGATTGATGGATGTGTTTCCCCATCCAAGGAAAGCCTGAAACTGCCTGTGACACTATTGCCAGGAAGATGATAGAAGGAGAAACATTTGTAGACTTTTCTGGGGCCGGGAGATGTAGCTTCACTGAAGACAATCTCAGGGCCAATCCAGCTGCAGACAAATTAACAGTTTCTTCCTCAGATTGTCTTTAAATTTAAAGCAAAATCACTGCTCAGTAATATTTGTTGTTATAAATCTGGCCACAAAGGCGATCAGAGTTTATCCCATGTGTGCAATGGCGAGGTGATTGTGAAACATATTTACCACGCAGCCGGGGCCCGTACCGTCTCACAGCTGGGGCCCGTACCCACACGCAGCCGGGGCCCGTACCCTCTCACAGCCGGGGCCCGTACCCACACGCAGCCGGGGCCCGTACCCTCTCACAGCCGGGGCCCGTACCCACACGCAGCCGGGGCCCGTACTCACATGCAGCCGGGGCCTACACCTCCCACGCAGCCGGG